TTGATTCGTTAATGTCTCCCGGTTTTGCTGTTTTTTTTTTTTTTGAACAATTACATTTTGGGCTAAAAGTGTGTTTTAACGCATGCATTACTGAACATGTACCGAGTAAAATATTACTTATTTTTATTACTTATAATTTATTAGTAATGCCTTACACAATGCCTTACAGCAAAAAGTAATCAGTTACTGTAATGCATTACTTTTGTAACGCGTTACTCCCAACACTGGACGTGCATGATGTTTAATAAAGTTATTAAGTGCAACAAGCAGTGAAAAAGAACTCAATGCGGTGCTCACGCTGACTGACACACACACTTTAGAAAGCGCCTCTCTCAGACAGCTTGCGATTGCGAATTTGGGACATGCATGATGTTTAATAAAGTTTTTAAGCGCAATAAGTAGTGAAGATTGGATCCGTGCAATTGGTTAAAGGGACGGCAGTCTAATTTACCTGCTGCTGTCTGTCATTATTAATGTTAATCACTCACTGCACTTGACAATCACTTTTGGATCTTTAATAAGAATCAGTTCAGGTTTGATCGATACAGTGAAGACTGTGCAGTGTTTTATTAATACACTTTATTCAATTTCTGTAATATTTCTTACTACATGATAAATAAACCTAGCTTACTGTAGCTGAATAAATGAAAAGTTTATTTCATATTAATTTGTTCTATTGTTTGTAATTTGCTTCTTTTTCTTATTTTTAATAACAAAAATAAAATGAAATAAAATAAAATAAAAATAGCTATATCGAGAGATATATCGTTGTCGTGAAATAAAATTTCTCATTCTGTGAAATAACATTTTGGTCATATCGCCCACCCCTAACAGCAATAAATTATATATATATTTTTTAATATTAAAACAGAAAACAAGAATTTTCAATTATATTAATATTGCACAATATTACTGTCTTTACTGTATTTTTCATCAATTAAATGCAGCCTTGGTGAGCATAAGAGACTTCGTTCAAAAACAAAAAAATCTTATGTTTCAGTGTTTTCCTGTCCCATTGTGTAGTTACACAAGATTTAGATACACATGAATGATTAGATCAACACTGGTCAAACAAGTATAACACCTAATGGAAAACTTAGTATGTCACTCACTCAAGCAGACTGAGGAAGTTCATGACGTCTTGTGGATTGACTTTAGACCAGTAGGCCATCAGTGTGTCTACAGGAAGACATTGAGTAACAGAAACAAAAGCATTAATACAATATAGCTCAACTCTTCCTGTTCACAGTGACATTCTCAAGATGTTCAGGACACCCAGACAACCGATCCCATGCTCTTTGACCAATAACCAATAACCAATTAAGAAATTATTTAATAGATTACTGGGATGGATTTCAGATGGTGTTTTTGGTTTTAGAAGTTTTAAATTATTATTCTTATACTGTACAAATGTCTCTAATGAGAACCTCAAAAAAGAGCAATAATAAAGTTTGTAGTCTTGTGATGTTGTGAGTGCTATTTTAGAGCAAAGGAAAAAAATATATACATTCAGTGGGAATTTCTGAATGTAAATCAAAATTCTAGGTTTTCTATGAGCATTAAAATCAGAGTTTCTCAATCCTGCTTCATATTTTAGGTGTCTCACACATCTGACGCATCCAATCAAGATCAAGCATCACTCTGCAAATGAGCCGGCAAGATGGCGTGGGAGTCATCCAGACTGTGTGGTGCTAGGAAAACCAAGAGCAGGACCGATAAACCCTGGTTTAAAGTGATACCTGTCATAAAAAGATCTGATTGCATTAACAGTGCGCCCACAGAACTCCAACGAACATTCAACAGTTTTCCACAGAATTTAAACGCCTGTCATTTAAAGTTTAGCAACAGCTGCCACCCCCAGCTCACATTCTGCTCTGTTTTGCATGTTCAGTATACATATTTTCTTTTTTTCATTCAAGCAGAGCTGGTAAACTTCATCATAGCAAAGGATTATTCAAAATATGCTTTATATGTGAATTTGAAACATCTGTATTGTATAAAGCACTATGCGAAAACGTGAATAGTGCTTCTATGTCACAATGCTGTGGGGGGTTGATTGTGTGGTTCTCCTCTTTGGTGTCTGAGTGGAGACTAGGGCATCTGTTAGAGTGCATGGCTGGTTGCTAAGTCATTCTGGGTGGTTTCTAGGGCATTAGTTGGTTGCTTGGCTGGTTGCAAAGAAAATTCTTGGTGGTTGCTAGTAGTTTTGAAAATCTTCTAACCAAAAGTATGAACAAAAGTAATGTTGGAGAAGAGAGCCTGTGGCTATAGGATTAAAGCTGATCTGATAGTAAGGCTACAGTCGTGACTATAATTCTGATGGTGTTTTATGATGATAACAAAAGGCTAAAGTGTGCTTACCATCTGACAAAGTTCTTACAATATGCAGGAAACACAGAAGCAGCCCTCTGATCTCATACTGCCCCAAACGGCCAGTGGCGGGTACATTGCTCATAGTGGAACCGCGCCTGTGTAACTGAGCAGAAGTGGGGGGGGGGAATTAATAATGATGCATGATTTGTGTGATGTTAAATAAGGTAACCTGCAGTGTTGGGGGAAACATGTAACAAAAACTTTTTTTTTTTTTTTACATTTAATGAGTAATGCATTACTTGTTAAATGTATGAGATTGATTTGATGAGTTTGATTTTGTTAATGCATGTTACTGCATATTTAATTGATTAACTGACAAACAACTGCAAACTTGTCCCTTCGAGTTAGAGAATGTGTGATTTATATTTAAACATGTCCCCCCCCCCCAAAAAAAAAAAAAAAAAAA